CAGCGCGCGCCGAACGCCATATTTCAGCCGCCGCACGCTCTCGGACTTCATGCTTAGTGGGTGGACGGCCGCGGCGCGGATCGTACCGACTTTCTCCTGCGTGATAGAACATACGCTCTAAATACGTGGTTCTCTATCCGCAACTATTTCTTTGCAAAGTTAAAATAAAAATTCGCCGATGTCGGTCCCCGGCGGTACTAATCGCGCGAAAGCTAGTGATGTGACCGGAGAGCCCAGTTTTGTATGTTAGTGACCCCCTCAATACGATAACAGATTGATATGGAATGTTTGTGTTTAGTTCCCTGAAATTAGAGTTTACTCCTTTTATTGCATCAAACTTTTTTTGTAATGTTGTTGCAAGAAACTTTCTAGTTTAGTTTAAATGTTTTATAGTATATTAAATGTTATGTTACATGTTATTAGGTTGAACAATGAAAGTGTCGTCTTTGTTTAGTAAGAATTAAAATAAATACTTAAGGTAATTACCTATAATTAAAATCAAATAAATATTATACGCCTTTTTGAAATACGACACTTTTTCAATGGTTTAATTGTAGAAATAAATTTGGTAAAAGCTTTTTAGAAAAATTTACTTCGCAAATATCCGCGTTATAAAATAATGTAAATTTTTCTAAAAGCTTTTATATAATGGATTTCCGCAAAGTAACGCCTGATTCTATTAATTATAATAAATTTGGAGTTAAGGCCGCTTGACAGTAATTAGTTATTTTTAAGTAATTGTATTACACCTGAACCAGTTAACCTCGAATTGTTTAGTACAAATAGAATTTATTTCCCCATGTCTTTAGTTCTGTTTACGTTTAAAATGTTTACGGCAATCCATTCATATGAAGAAAGGTGTGTAAGTGGAAGCCCTGTACCGGCAAAGGGATATACGACGGCCTCCACTACATGGGCCTGGTATTACATTCGATAGATGCATGTGGCTCAGGACCAATTTATGTGACAATTCTTGGAAGTGCTATATTCTGCAGGCTGTGAAGGAATAAAAATCTATTTATAGACACTATAAATAAATAAAATGGAAAAGCATTCAAACATTTACCTTTTTAACAATCCATTATGTTTTTTTTTTCTTAAATTACTGACGTACATAAAGCTACACCCACCAATGGATCGATTCAATTTGTTTTAACTTAATAATATCTAGCAAGATGCTATATTTATGTTTGAATAAATAAAATAGAAAAGATTTAAATATTTCTCTATGTGACAATTCATGTTTGTTTATTATCAATTACTGAAATGCAATAGCTATAAAAACATTTATTTAGATTTGTCATGAAAAGCACAAAGCTATACGCCCATTTTGGGATCAATTCAATTTGTTTTAGCAAGATGTTAATTATATTTACGTGAATTTTAAAAGTAGCGATTTAAAAGTGCTAATAATGAAATTGAAACAAGTAGCAATTTTACTTTAAACTCTATTCTATGAAAACCGACCAAGTATAATATATCGTTTTCGAACTAGAAGTCACAACGGGCTGTAAAATAAAGAAACACTGAAAATATTCGTTCGTTTTGACAACAGATTACGAAATAGATCACCTCATTTCTTGTATTTTGTAGTGACTATATTTGTACTCTTCTCAATTTTATTATATAGGCAATTATACCCCAAGTAATAAGGGTAAGGAAAAATTTTTGTCTGCTTTTTCATGTATGGGAAAAATAATTCAATCTAATTTCCTATTCAATATTCGGTTTTGGGTCAACATTCTACACATAATATCCAAATTTCAGGTCTATAAGCTAGAGCAAGAGTGCCCAAACTTTTAAGGTAATGGAACACTCACTAAATCCCTTTTATTTTACGGAATATCACATCAAATGATTACATATTGCCATAGATAGTGCCATTGAATTTATATGTAATATAATTCTATTAATTGCATATAATATGTAATATAATAGAATTATATTACATATACATATTATATGTAATATAATTCTCGCTTGCTACCTACGTATCAATATAACAGTAATGGGTTCTTTTCATCACATATTTTGCGCCAATTCAAATGTGATACGAAATGTTGGGAGATGATCATTTGGTCATCTAACGAATGTCATTAGTTTTTTCTGGTATTTTGTTTGATTTTCTATTGCAAAACTCTTGATAGGGTTAGGGATTATTTAGGCTCTTCAACGACACATTGACTATTTGTATTTTTTTAAATTGAATTAATTGGATCATTTTACTGTATAAAATTCCCACTGTTGGGTATTTTCTACTCCGGCATAAGTTTTGATTGATATTTTTAAAAATAAAAAGCGATATATTTACTCAATTTATACATATTATTACTCTAAGGGCGATCGTACACCGCCACCGTCACCGGGACGTCAAAGAAAATAAGATTATTTCTGGGCGAGATCAATATGACGTGACGGCGATCGTTTGTCCACTGCGAAGATCTCGGTGGTTCTGTCAGTTACTTGTAGCGGTTGTTTGTCGGCGCGGTGCAACGTCACAGCGCCGGTGTGGATGGACAAGTTTAAATGTTTTGTATTGCCGGGTACATCGGCTCGTCACAATCTCGGGCCGATCTAGAGGTCGCGCCGATGTACCCTAAACTTCGGCGGCCGGGATTGCGGTGGACAGACGGCTGTAGTAAATGTATATGTGTCGCTACCTCGGCGCCGTCATCTAGTTCTCGTTGACGTCACGGTGACGGTGGCGGTGGACAATCGCTGTAAAGGATATATTCATTATGGCTTTTTAAATTTAAGCACTTTACAGGTTTATAGCGTGGAATTTCTAATTTACCCAAAATTTATTGTTAAAAGAATTTTTAACTTGAAATCATACAATTATCATAAATTATACAGTTAAATATTTGATTCGGCGGCGGTAGTCATCATCAGATGAGCAACGTGCACGTTTCTCCTTATTTAAATAAAAATACAACATATAAAATGTCTGTAGATTATTGCCAGTAACTTTAAACCTAACATAAAATTCTAATACAAAGTCAGGGTCGTTCACGAGTGTCAGTGGGTCAGTCCCAAGTGTCGATAAAGTTAGAAAATAAATTTGCTTGTAATTGAACACAGCCTTTATTTTAGTTGTTTCAGTTATGTTTTTTTTTTCATTGCTAGGCAAAGGCGTACTTTCATTTCTGGCTAGTAACCCTTGAACATTTTTAGCCTTGTAATCATTTTAATATTAAGGTTTTGGTCTGCCATCAAATTGAAACCAGCCAGACATTAATTTCATTTAAATTTGAGTGTTTCTGCGAACTTTATAAGCACATTTTTATTTATGTAAATTTTATCAACCACATTTATTGTCACTTCGTTTGTTTACGGTTAAAATAGACCTAACCTTATCACCTGATCCGAATATTGGCTGTCGTGAGATTATATGGAAATGGATTGTGTAATACGCTATTGGTCTTTACTGTGCGTATATACGTGGTAGAGCCACGCTACAGCTTACTGTAGCTGTAGCATGGATTGGTCGGCTCGACCTGGGAAGGACCACGCTCTCACAGAATGTCAGCGTAAAATACCAACATAATCTGTAGACAACCGGAGACCCTTTTTACTAAAAACGAGACATTCCATCTTAGTCCTCAGGAGCGACAACACGTCTGCATTTTGATTCTTAATTGAGGATAAATGTAGATGTCAATGGGCCACTTACCATCAGGTGGACTGTGTGTTTGTTGTTCGCCCTTATTCAATAAAAAAGCAGCAACAGTTAAAGTGATTCCATTAGGTCCCCCCTACAACTTAAGTATCCAGACGGTAGGGCGACGGAGAGGAGAGTCAAAATCAAGATTACAAAACTTCTGTTACCGAGTCCGGCAATTGACCCGCCTAGCGTAGCGATTCTTTTATGAGAGAGACCAATGTCTGTGCTGCTTCAACATAACATTTGTATATTCATGGGTTAATTATTAAATAATACGCTATAATATATTATGATTAACGATATTCATGAGCGGTAAAGTCCTTACCAAAATCACAATACATCCAAAGTAATAACGAATCACAGACCAATGTGATCTTAGATAGACCATTTAAAGACAATCCATTTCCACAATAGACTTTTGGCAATTAAAAGTTACTAATCAGAGTAAAATAATATCAAAAGCGCACATTTTATTTATTAGTATTATTAAAACACAACACAAACAATATTATTAAAATACATTAATATTTTTTTTAAATTATATGCAATAAATGAATTATGAATTATTATATTTTGTTTGCATAATTTTGTCGGAGTGTAACTTTTTTTAACTAAAATTGGTTGCAGTTCCCATTTACCATTAGATTGATCGTTAGTTTACTGTTCTATTAATGGATCGTGATTTGTGGCATTCCTTGGGGAGGCCTATGTTCGGTAGTTGACTTGTGTCGGGCTGTAATAAAAATGATGATGATTATTATAAAAATAAAATATTTTTAAAAACAGTGTAATCACATAATATCATTGAAATAAAAGAGATCTGAAACATGTTAATTTGGTGAGTACTAAGTAGAGACATCGATTTTCAAACTGTCATCAGCCATAACCTTCCTGCTAATATGATTTAGTTGAATATTATTATGTTTAGCGCATTTGTCCGTATGTATATGCAGCATGAATCAACACTGTATGTTATGTTATTTGATGTGCTCAAACACCTGCCGACAACTTCGTGTTCGTGCCCCTAAATTAATGTCTTACTAAGAGATTCAGTATCGTCTATAGTCTGTTTGTACCCACACACCACGTTTTGTCGCAGTTCTGGGAACGTGTGACAGGAAGGCATAACAAAGTAAATGACACCTTTTAAACTGACCTTCATATATAACGCTCATTTACATGATCACAATAAAGACATCGTGATTGAGACGTCTGGAACCCGGCTTGTCCGGTGACCAGCGTAATGCGTGACTACGCGTATATCGTACAGAGAGGAGCACGGTGAGGCGGGGCGAAGCGGGGGGGCCGCTCTCTATATGGCAGTACCCGAGTCGTCATGAAGGTGGACGCAGACGCCGCGGAGGTAGCAGCCTCCGCCACACCGACACCGATTGCTAGTAATACAGAATCGCCTGTGTCATCACTTGACGGTTTGTTGGAAACACGAACTAACATGAAAATGCACCGTTTGACGGCACGCTAGTTGCACACTTGTACTGCACTTCGGGGGTGGTGTTATATTAACGCTATTTGTAAGGCCTGAGGTGCACTCTGCCATGTCGGAGAGAGCAAATTAAACATATTCCGACGGTCGTCCTCTGTCACAAGTGGCTCTTAGTCAGGTACACGAAATTCACACAAATTGACTGTACAAAATTGAAGTGACGACATTGTGCACCTAGCTTAGCCAATCTCGAACACTGAAAGCGCTTGCATCGTGTGTAACACTACATCTAACACTAACTTGCTTGTATGATTTGCGCTTTCTTTGTTAGCTTATATCAGTAGTTTATCAATGTTGGATATGTTTAGAAGAAAAATTGATTTTGAAACGGAAACCTTGTCACAATTGGATGTAATTCATTTTGCATTATAAAGGTTCTTATCTAAAGGAACTTGAAACAGTTGTGAAAGGTTGTGGAGTAGTCGTTTAATGTTGTTATAGTTTGTAATTTTTAGAAAGAAGACAGAATAAAGAATCACATTTATTTTTCAAATAGCTAATTTATCTAATGTAAGGCAAAATAAGGTAAGAGTGCTTTTATTATTAGGTTAAAAGCTTTTAAAACTCCCCAAACCTAATTAAGATAAAATCCTAATAGGCCGAGTGAAAAATACATCCTACGTTAACAGTATATTTGAGCCATTCTGCTATTTTTACTATCTGCTGAAGTACATGTAGACAATCTATGATAACAAAAAATTACCGAACCAATTTCATTTTAATTAATGAATTTATTTATTCACTGTCATTTATTTAAGGGCTTAAAACTTAAACAGTCAGTCTATCCATTATGCAATCTGGTGATAAAATTTTCATTAAAGCTGCAAATGTTCAACCGGTAACAGTTGTACAGTCGAATTGTTGATATCTTTTATGATATTTTATACCTAAAATTTTATATGGAATTTCAAACTCTATATCCATTTTTTTATAGAAATTTCAATTATATTACTTCGTCATGTAGCTCCATTATTTATTACAATATTGCATTGCTTAAAATGCAGATTATTTTGAAATTGAAAATCGCATACTATTGAAAATAAAAAATTGCGTGTGTAAGGAGAGCATACACGACTTCTTCTGCCACCATCGCGGCACCATTGCATTATGAGGTGTAATATTTGACAGATTTCATAGCGGGCAAGTGATTTTGTTTGGAAAATGTAAAGGTTAATATTTCTTTCTGTACAGCTATATTTTAAAGTATAAAAATATTTTAAAATGTGCTAAAAATTAAGGAGTAAACCACTGAGGCATTGTTTTGTGTATTAATATAATACTCAAGAAACTATTAAACTTTTATTTAAAACTAACTTCTCAATTAAATGACATCGTGTAACAAAAAACTTGTGACCGTGACTTCTTTTGCGTCGAAATTATTACGTTTTGATTTCATGGATTTTAAAATTTTTTGCGCGGAACCCTTATTCTTTTTTTCCAAATAAAAGTAGCCTAAGTTACTCCTTATAACATCAGTTATCTACCGTCAGTGAAAGTCCCGTCAAAATCGGTCCAGCCATTTCGGAGATTAGCCGGAACAAACAGAAAGACAAACATTTTAAAAATTGTTTTTTGTTATAATTATCTTATATACTTTCATAGGCATTTAGTAAAAAGCATGTCATATTAACATTACAAACAGATACTTCAATTTTATTTATTTGTATGGATGTATACAGCCTTATTTGTTATTATTTATACATTTATCAAAAGCGAGATAATGTTAACTTCTCAAAAGGGGCTTGCTTAACATTTCAAGATGATAATGATTTCTTATATATACGCGTACGATATTAGAAAAATTAAATTAAACGCGATAGAATCCGTAAAATAAGTTTCATTTAATTTTAAGTTGAATCAAAAGTGTAGTAAACGTTATTCAAAATATTTTAATGGAAATTAATTTTTAATACACAGATTGAATTTGATGTCTATGATTCCATTGATTGTCCCTAACTATAATTTTAAACCTAACATACCTACTCGTAGTTTTAACGCATGCTATAATTTCAAAGATCTTTTGACAATTCCCTATTCATGACTGACATTGCTCGGTTTCACCTTTTGGTGCTATCATTACGACATATTTCATACTAGCGGTCCGCCCCGGCTTCGTACGAGTGATTTCTGTATCTTGACAACAGCGCCACCTATCGGGTCGAATTTGGAATCTAAACCCATCTCGAATCAACTGAATCACACACACACAAAATCTCATCAAAATCGGTCCAGCCGTTTAGGGAGGAGTTCAGTCACATACACACGGTCTGTAAAATTATCTTTATATATAAAAATTACGTGTGACGTTGTTAGTCCGCGATGGACTCCTAAACTACTGAACCGATTGCAACTGACATTGCTCGGTTTCCCCTTTTGGTGCTATCATTACGACATATTTCATACTAGCGGTCAGCCCCGGCTTCGTAAGAGTGATTTCTGTATCTTGACAACAGCGCCACCTATCGGGTCGAATTTGGAATCTAAACCCATCTCGAATCAACTGAATCACACACACACACAAAATCTCATCAAATTCGGTCCAGCCGTTTAGGGAGGAGTTCAGTCACATACACACGGTCTGTAAAATTATCTTTATATATAAAAATTACGTGTGACGTTGTTAGTCCGCGATGGACTCCTAAACTACTGAACCGATTGCAACTGACATTGCTCGGTTTCACCTTTTGGTGCTATCATTACGACATATTTCATACTAGCGGTCAGCCCCGGCTTCGTAAGAGTGATTTCTGTATCTTGACAACAGCGCCACCTATCGGGTCGAATTTGGAATCTAAACCCATCTCGAATCAACTGAATCACACACACACAAAATCTCATCAAAATCGGTCCAGCCGTTTAGGGAGGAGTTCAGTCACATACACACGGTCTGTAAAATTATCTTTATATATAAAAATTACGTGTGACGTTGTTAGTCCGCGATGGACTCCTAAACTACTGAACCGATTGCAACTGACATTGCTCGGTTTCACCTTTTGGTGCTATCATTACGACATATTTCATACTAGCGGTCAGCCCCGGCTTCGTAAGAGTGATTTCTGTATCTTGACAACAGCGCCACCTATCGGGTCGAATTTGGAATCTAAACCCATCTCGAATCAACTGAATCACACACACACAAAATCTCATCAAAATCGGTCCAGCCGTTTAGGGAGGAGTTCAGTCACATACACACGGTCTGTAAAATTATCTTTATATATAAAAATTACGTGTGACGTTGTTAGTCCGCGATGGACTCCTAAACTACTGAACCGATTGCAACTGACATTGCTCGGTTTCACCTTTTGGTGCTATCATTACGACATATTTCATACTAGCGGTCAGCCCCGGCTTCGTAAGAGTGATTTCTGTATCTTGACAACAGCGCCACCTATCGGGTCGAATTTGGAATCTAAACCCATCTCGAATCAACTGAATCACACACACACAAAATCTCATCAAAATCGGTCCAGCCGTTTAGGGAGGAGTTCAGTCACATACACACGGTCTGTAAAATTATCTTTATATATAAAAATTACGTGTGACGTTGTTAGTCCGCGATGGACTCCTAAACTACTGAACCGATTGCAACTGACATTGCTCGGTTTCACCTTTTGGTGCTATCATTACGACATATTTCATACTAGCGGTCAGCCCCGGCTTCGTAAGAGTGATTTCTGTATCTTGACAACAGCGCCACCTATCGGGTCGAATTTGGAATCTAAACCCATCTCGAATCAACTGAATCACACACACACAAAATCTCATCAAAATCGGTCCAGCCGTTTAGGGAGGAGTTCAGTCACATACACACGGTCTGTAAAATTATCTTTATATATAAAAATTACGTGTGACGTTGTTAGTCCGCGATGGACTCCTAAACTACTGAACCGATTGCAATGAAATTTTGCACACTCTGTGCAGTTTGGTCCAACTTTAGAGATAGGATAGTTTTTATCCCGCTAAATGACCCTCAAAATTTTTTATTGCGAATTTAATGATTTTTATAGGAAGGGTGGTTGAAAAGTGCAGAACAACGTCTGCCTGGCGAGATAGTATAATATAAATATAAAGATATTTTGAATATATTATAGGATAAATGAGAATATCCCACGACCAATGCTGACTAATTATTTATGCAAAAATATCCTGTATTCGACCCGCCCCGGCTTCGCACGGGTAATTTCTGGATATCGAGAACAGTGGCACCCTCCGACTCTAGTCGTAAATACAAACCATTTAGGGTCCCATTCAAACACATACAAAAAGAATATTCTGACCAAATTTTATACCTATAAGGGCTATAGTTTGAAAATGTGATTTTTTTTAATTAACGCCTCGTAACCCCCCTTGCGGTTGAAATTTTGTAATAACCGTTCTAAGCTGACCTCCTCTCGCCGAAAGGAATATTCCTACCAAATTTCAAGTATCTAGGCCTTATGTTTCCAGAGATATCGTGATGAAATCTCTTAATTATATTCAACGTTTCTAATAATGTTTATTAATTTTTTCGAGTGTGTTCATAAAACTGGCTCATTTATTTTTCCAGGCAAATCAGAACATTCTTGTATATGTACAATAAAACTTCCTACCACCAATTATAACTTGTGTATAGAAGTAAAAAAAGTTTACCTTATTGAACGTGAATTCTAATTATCTTTGTCTTTCTATATATAAAAATCTCTCTTACTCTCTGACGATTCTGATGAAATGTTTGTGTTTGTGTAGGTCCCTGTATGGTTTAGATTCAAAATTGGTCCGGATAGGTGGTACTGTTGCCGAGTTCCAGAAATCATCTGATCGCTAGTATATGATAAAAAATAATAAAATTGATTATTGTTTTAAAACAAATTTCACAACAAACACAAAAACTCGGTGACATTTGTGCACATAGTTTGTAGGTTGTAAACACTGCCCACAAATTACAATTGAGGTTTCAATCGAAATGCAAACAAGTAAAATGTAGTCGGAAATATAACATGATTTTCACTCAAAACTTCATCTTTAAATATAAAAATTACGTGTCACATTGTTTGTCCGCGATAAACTCCAAAACTCCTGAACTGATTTCAATGAAATTTTGTAAATGTATATTGCTTGCTCCAAATTGAAATGTAGAATAGTTTTATCCCGATAAGTGACTCTATATTTTTTATTGCAAATTTAAGGATTTTTATAAGACAAAGGGTGGTCGGAATAGGCAAAACGACATCTGCCTGATAAGCACGTAGGTATATAAAGAAATGAAATTGGACTTCGATTAATTTTACATTCGTCAAAATGTTATTTTTAAAGTAAAAATATATGTAATAAAAATATGTATTTCGCACATAAGTTCATGCACTTAACGCCATTTTTAATTTCAAAAGTTACGTTGAACTTTTCAACATTTAGTAACTTTTACTATTTTATATATAGGTATATTTCTTGTTTCTTGGACTTGCCTTAGAAATGTTGAAGTTAAATTGTAACCTTGTTATTTGAAAGTAACTTGAGGTATTTTCTCTAAGGATTCCTCAACTTACTTAAGCTTGAATTTCGGCTGAACGCTTACGTCTTGTTTTGTTACTAAATGATTGTTAATTAATTGTGAAGAACAGATTCGATATATTTTTTCATTTTAGGTTAGCAGACGTTACCTTTTTTAGAATTAGATAACGTAGTCTATAGACTGCATTCACTCTTTATATCTTGTTGTTCTTGTTCTTGTTGTATCTGTTTGTACGTTAAGACATGATTATTTTTCGTAATTGTTAAAATTTTAAACAATGACATCGTTGAACACAACAGTGTTTCGAATTATTACGAATGCACTCATCATCATAATCGTATCACTAATCACCTTTTTACAAAAAAAAAAACGTCCCTGACGACGAGTGAGGAGCACACTGGCTTAATAATAGTAAAAGAAAAATAGAAAGTAAACGATGTAAGCGACTTTTATCAAAAACTATCGGGAAATAAGAGTGACCTTTGATTGTTTGTCCCAAATCGTAATAAAATATTATAAACTGTTTGTTTGAAATATTATGCCATGCTAGCGTTAAATTCCCTTGAAATAATACTTTCATGTTTTATTTTTTGCGTTCACTGTTTTAGACAAATACACAGGAAGCAAAACTTACTTAACTAATTTAACGGAAAAAATAATGAATTTGCAAGAAATCTTATCTTACATTTATTGCTCGAAGCGCGACTCATCCTGTCAATTATCATAATACCAATCACTGGCCTTTCATTTTCATTATGCGACAGCTTTTATGGCCGTTTAAGTACTTTTCTGCGGGAACTATGAAATTTGTGGTTTATGATTTCGACGCTGTTACATACATAATAATTTTAATATTATACTAGAGTAGTACTCTCATGTAAATTTTACCGTGTAGTGGCGGTGTAAGAATATCTAACCCATACAGTTCCGTGGGTGTCTGACTTGACTTGAATTTTAAATAGAAGTAGTAATAGAAGGTCGGGATTATTTAATTAATTAACTATAGCACAAAAACTACTACTGTATAATACTAGTATACAATTAATATATACTCACTGCTAACTCGCTCACTACTTACCTAACCCGCAGGCGTATTACGTATCTTGCAGAAGGCTAGCGATAGCGAAATTAGAGCAATAATTGCTGATAAATCGCAGATTCGTATTATGTATCAGCGATAACCATGCTAACTAGCGACAGCGCTGCCTTGTAGTCGCTAGTTAGCTAGGGTTTGGTTATCGCTGGTCGAAAAATACGTATCTGCGATTTATCAGCAATTATTGTTCTAATTTTGCTATCGCTAGCCTTCTGCAAGATACGTAATACGCCTACTGTTCTCCTGTTCTCTTTATCCAAACAAAAGTAAGTGCAAGTCAATTGTATATAGAAGTAGTTAATAGTGACGGGTTTACTAAATTAATTAATTAATTAATGTACATAATCTTAGGTACTACTATCCAATTATTTTACATTCACTGCACTTACATATACCAACTTACCTAACCTGTCATCCTTTAAAAAAAAGTTAAAGTTAAAGCGTACATAATATGTCCCACTGCTGGGCACAGGCCTCCTTTCATTTCTGAGAGGGTTTTAAGGCAAAGTAATGTCCGCTGCGCTGCCCCAATGCGTGTTGGCGAACTTCACATGTCTTGAAAATATTTTTCTTATTTCTCAAACATGAAGGTTTTCTCACAATGTTTTTCTTCACCGCCGAGTACGTGGTAATTAGCAATTTCATTGGTGCCGGCGGAGATCGAAGCCAGGTTGCTCGCGTATTGTGAAATTAACAGCGAGCGCTTATCGTTTATCAACCAACAAAAGTAAGTGCAAGTCAATTGTATATAGAAGTAGTTAATGGGGTCGGATTTATTGAATTTATTAATAATAGCACAAAAACTGACTACTATCCAATTAATTTATACTCACTCCACGTACGATTACTTATTAACGTACCCTGTTCTGCTATCCTTTATCAACCCAGTTCCATCTTGTCACACAATCGCCACACAATGCATATGTGCCACATGGTGACATCAGTTTTACTTGCATTTTATTAAATGCGAATACTATTAAATTGAAAAATATAGTAATTATAAAGGTTATAATCTATTGAAAGTCAGTGGCTATTGCGCTCACTTGGCTGTAAAATAAAAACATGGCTTTTTTTTACTAATGTAGCACTCTCTTTCTGCCTAAGAGCCCAAGTTTTTTTTTAATATTTATTATATATTACTTGGTAGTACTTACTGATTTCTTCTGCCAAATCAGTGCCTTACCTGCTATGTTTCGGTCTAAAAGGTATAAACAGCCAGTATAATTATAGATTGTAATGCATTCTATCATAGTCCTCATAAGTAACAACGCATCTGTAGCCTTTATTGTATAAAGTTGGTTGCCGATATTCATGGGGTGCATGCAGGCTCTCATGTGGACTGAAAGTTCATTTGTCACTTAAAGTAATTATAATTTATTTGTAAATAACACGATATTCTCACATTATTTATACGTGGTAAAGCCATGCTGCAGCTATATTAATAGTATAGTTGTAGCACGAATGGGTCGGCTCGACCGGGGAAGGACCACGCTCTCACAGAATACCAGCGTAAAATAGAAGCTTAATGCTGCTGTGTTTCGCATGGTAAGTGTAGAGAACCGGAGACCCTTTTTACTGGAAAAGAGGCATTCTATCTTAGTCCTCACGGCTGACAACGCATCTGCATTTTAATTCGCAAACGAAGATAGATGTTGATAGATGTCTATGGGCCACAGCAACCACTTACCATCAAGTGGACTGTGTGCTCGTTTGTCATCCTTATTCTATATGGTGACCCTTTTTAGTGAAAACGAGGCATTCCATCATAGTCCACAGAAACCACTTACCATCAAAAGGACTGTATGCTCGTTTGTCACGCTTATTCTGTAAAAAAATTATTGTCTACACGTTATTATGTTTATATTTTTAAATTGTCTGTAAAATAGACCCTTTTTCGAACTGGAGGAAGTCAAGACATCATAGTTACAGTTACCAGCATTGCATGGGTGTTGCAGACTGCCGCGCTCCGGTCGCCGAGATCCCGACGCCCGAGCGGGCGCTGCTCGCCAAACTGGAGGAGGAAAACCGACGTATCGAGGCGGACGCGAAGAGCGCCTCGCTGACTAACGTGCACAGCCGGAAGAGCTCCGACACCTCACAGATCTCGCTTGCTTCCGGTTAGTACCGTTTTCTTTTAAATATATAACAACACCTTCACATCCATTTTCACAACAAATTTAAAGAACACTATAAACTTTATTCGTATAAATTTTATATTTTTTATCATACATATGTTATGGCGACATTACAAACATCTTCATATTTGTATTTGTTTTAGTAGTTATATATTTCTATTTTTATAGTAGTGTTATTAAGAAAGGTATCTTTCTTTCGCCATCATGCGCTTTTAGTAAAATCTCCTACCTGGAATGGCGGAAAAAAGGATTGAATAGACAGTTAAACGAAAAAGCAAACATCATCAAGTAATTATACTTACATCATTATGTAAACTTATGGTCGATATTCGACCATATTTAACTTTCAATTACACATTATTATTTATTATATAAAAGATAAATATTTAATATTAAAAAATATAAAATAAACGGTTTATTGGCTTGACACACACTCCACACACTATTGAAACCGAACATTGTCCCATTCTTACCGACCTAGAATGCTAATATACCAACAGTTATAATTCCTTACCGGCCTACAACGCCGCTCACTGGCATCTACTCAGTTATGTAGTATTGAAATAAATATGGCCTCATCTATCGGATACAGCATCATTAATAGTCTACTTTAAGTCTCATTTTTAAGACATTATACCCTGAAATTAAAATTCTAAAGTTTCTATTCAAAATCTTACGAAACTTTCGTCTCAATAGTGTATTTTACACCATGTTAAAAAAAAACAAAAATATATATTTTTTTTTTTATTTTTTTTTTATTTTTTTTTATTTAAATTTTTTCATTTGCGATATATGGGTTACAATAGGTCTTAAATAATTTAACAAAATACAGCCATATTCTACCTTCCGGTGTGCAAACTACTTAAAAATAAGATTTTATTTATAATTAAAACTAAATGGAAAATTCCGATAATTACATTAACATAATATAACCCTATTTGTATATTTGCACTACTTACATAATAATAATTCACAAAATAATGATAAAATACATGTAATGATTAAAATTGTAATGTCAAAATAATAATGCCAAAACGAGTATAAATTATTGTTTCAAAATTAATAACATAGATAACGTTTCGATCAATAAATTTGATAGATAAAATTTAAAAATTGTCATATAAATAATCGTCAATATTATAATACGCTTTATTGGTTAAAAATGTGTTTAGTTGTTTCTTAAAAATGTGAAGGCTCTTAGAATCTCTTATATATTTAGGTAAATGGTTATACAGACGAGGACCCATACAGAATACGCTTTTTTGAAACAAAACAGTCTTACTATTGGGATGGCTCAATTTATCTTTATGACGCTGGACATTTAGTTTTTCGTAAAAACTTAAGTTTTGACGTATAAATAAGACTACCTCATATATATATAGACATGGCATTGTTAATAATTTTAAATTAATGAAGTATGGCTTACAGCTCTCACTTTGGTTAATTTTACAAATGGCTCGTAAGCATCTTTTTTGAGCTTTAAATACTGTTTCTTTGTCCGTACAATTACCCCAGAACATAATACCATATCTAAGTGTAGACATAACATAAGCATGATATGATGCCATTACGGCGGATGTGTCTACAACTTTTCCAAGCATATATAACGCATACGAAAAACGATTTAATTTCATACACACACTGCTCACATGAGACTGCCAGTTCAAATTGCAATCTACATTTATACCCAAAAATTTTATATTGTCTATGGTATTGATTTTTTGTCCTAGAAAATTGATATTTAAATTATTTATTTTATTGCGTTTTTGATAGAATGTCATAAGTTTTGTTTTTTCTAAATTTACATTTAAATTATTTATGTTTAGCCAATTCATGATTTTCTCTAAAGCAAAGTGTATGTTACTTTCTAAATCTATTTTGTTTTTGCTAGTGAAAATAACTGTGCTGTCGTCAGCAAATAATACTATTTTGTGATTAATGACGTTGGGAAGGTCGTTGATATAAATAAGAAATAACAATGGTCCTAAAACACTTCCTTGCGGTACTCCAGTTTGTACGACTCTGTATTCAGAAACATAGGTTATTTCTTTTCTTGATTTTACACAAATTTTTGTAATGTGTGTACTTTGTTTTCTGTTAACTAAATATGATGTTAGTAGATCTAGTGCATTACCTCGAATACCGTAGGTATTACGGATCGCCGTAATGCCGTGCGAAAAATGGAATAAAACGCGCTGGTCTTGCTTTTAACTGGAGGCAAGCGGCGGTGAGGAGGAACTTGTACTTTTTCTTTTCTTGCTGGTGCCTTTTCGGTGGCTGGAGAGCGACTGCTGACCCTAGCGGCCGGCCCGTCTTTTATATGATTTGGCCGCTGCTGGCCAGCGGACCCTTGCCTCACCCCCGCGCCTATCTTTATTTATTTAATAACCTTACAAACTAATAAACATAATTCCCTATATAATATTCTTATAACTACTTGTTAGACTAGGGTGTACATATCAATATTTTTACTTATTTACAGGTTTACATTATAATTTTCAGCTGCTTTAGGCGGAGAATCCTTCCCCCCGCCTCAGCACTATAAATATAAAACGTCGTGGCGCGGTGCGCGTGGCTTCATTTGCTCCGCGGCCGCGTCACGATAACATGCTCTTTGGTTACACTACTACTATTATTTTATGTGCCTAACGGCCTAATATATTTATTATATAATAAAGTAAACATTTATTATATTTAACAATTACAGTTTTCATTAGAAGACTATGCTAACTCTCCCTGTTCATACGGTGCCTTTATTTGGGAGAGTTATTGCACAGTTACAACTCAACCTTAAACTTAGTTATAATACAATCATTATTTTTTATCGTTCGATACAAGTAATACAATTATTTACACAAATTATAATTTAAATTCAACATAAGGTTGCGCTAGTCCCGCCGTATAACCCTTGCTAGTTGTCGAACCAGAGGCGTGGCCTGATAATTACACCGTCGTCATGGCTCCGCCCACCGCTCCTAGGTTGTTCAACTAGCGCCGGTTACAATAAGCATTTTCTTTCGTTTGTTTAATATTGTTGCGTCGTGCACATTCTCCCGCCGTCGCCACGCTGCGATCCCTCTGGTAGCACGACGATCTTCTTCGTTGGTCTTCTTAGTATGTGCCCACTGCCGGTGGTTACGTCCACTACTCGTACCTCTCCGTCGACGCCAGGATATACCTTACTTATTTTCCCTCTGGGCCAGGTGTTGCGTGGTAGATTGGAGTCACAAATGATGACTAGGTCTCCAATCTTCGGCGATACTCCTATGCTGCTGGGCTCCCGCCGGTGTTGGAGTAGGGGCAGGTATTCTTTAACCCATCTTCTCCAAAACACGTCGGCTAGGGCTTGAGCTCGTTTCCATTGCTGGCGGGCCGTCACGTCATTCTTGCTGAAGTGTCCCGGCGCAGGTACGTGCGAGTTGGGACCGATGAGGATGTGATTCGGCGTGATGGCTTCAGGGTCTCCTGGGTCGACTGAGACGTGTGTGAGAGGTCTGGAGTTTACAGTATTTTCGACCTCGGCGAGCAGGGTCCCCAATGTTTCGTCGCTGGGATAGCACTCGTTGAGGGTGACGCGTAGGGCTTCTTTTACGGAGCGAACCATTCGCTCCCATACGCCGCCCATGAACGGTGCTGATGGCGGTATGTACTTCCACACAATCTGTTGACACGTGGTTTCGTGCTCGAGGGCTGCGAGTGCTGCTTCGGCCATCTCCTTGTCTGCTGCCTTGAAGCACGTAGCGTTGTCACTCCATATTTCTTTTGGGCATCCTCTTCTGCTCATAAAACGCCTAAGTGCCGACACGGCTGAGTCTGCGCTCAACGAGTGGGCTACTTCTATGTGTATTGCTCGCGACGTCATGCAGGTAAATAACGCGCCATAGCGCTTTTCGCGATGTCGTCCCACTGTGACTTCTATTGGCCCGAAGTAGTCTAGTCCGGTGTATGTGAACGGACGTGCGTGATGAGCGAGGCGTGCGGACGGCAGGTTTCCTGTAGACGGTGATGCAGGCTTGGCTTTTCTTAGACGGCACGGCAGGCATCCTTTGACGACAGTTTTCACTACTGGACGTATTTTTCTTACGTACAATCTCTGTCTTAATTCATTCACAACTGTTTCTACGCCTCCGTGATGCAGCCTCTCGTGTACGTGTGCTATGTACAGGCGAGTGTATGCGTGCTTCCCGTCTAATATGGGAGGGTCGTACATGTCGTCCTCCACTTCTGATGCCTCTTTTATTCGACCTCTGAGGCGTAGGGTCCCCTCTTCATCAATGTATGTGCTCAGGTGGCCTAGTTTGTCGTCGCCTCCCGGAACTCTTCCGCTGGTGATTCTCTTGAGCTCCTTCGTGAAGCTTTCCCGCTGACTGACTTGCACCCACAGTTGTTCGGCTCTCATATGATAAGCGGCCGGTATTCCTACAAGCGATGAGGCAGTAGGAGTCGCCTTTTTCTCCTTGGCGGGGGTGTTGCGTTTGTTTGTTCTCTGCCAGCCAGGGTCGCTACCTTGTCTTGCTTTGTTGCGTTTACGCCCAGCCTTCACTACGTGCTTGTTTGGTCTGCACATGTCGATGAATAGGAGGACTCTCGCTGTCGCCCTTATGAGGCGAATCCATTTAGAAAATCTTCCTATCTGTGGAAGATGTGTTGTTGTCGAGTCTTCCCTTTTAACAGCGATGTTACATATTTCTCGCTCTTCCCCGGTGTCATATTGTGTCGTTTTCTCTTCCTGCGGCCATTCTGCCGGTGGACGCTGCAGAAACGGGGGCCCTCGGAACCATCGGTGCGACTCGTCGAACCCTTCTGGTGTGGCTCGGGTTGCGTCGTCTGCCACGTTTTCTTTAGACGGTAGCCAACGCCATTCGTTCTTTTTGGTCGTATCTTCTATCTCCGCCAGGCGATGAGCGACGAAAGCTTTGTACGCGCGAGGCTCCGCTCTTATCCACACCAGTGCAGTACGGGAGTCGCACCAGTATGTCTTG